GTTAACAATCAAGCCTGTAAAGATGGTGTCCGTAAAACAAGCGAAACAGAAAGACAACGCCCATCAACTGTGATAGCTGTTTCAGAAATACCGGTAAAGACACATTTAAACACATACGCATTTCCATATGCGAACAACACACACACACACACACACACACACACACACACACACATATATATATATATATATATATATATATATATATATAAGGCTGAAACACGAATATTTCATGGTTATAATTTATTACATTGGAATCGTAATCACGATCCAATTCATCAAACCTAAAATTTGTTCCTGATTACGATTTCAATGTAATAAATTATAACCATGAAAACGATGAATCAAAAGGACGGTCTTTCCATTGATGCCGCTATTATTTTAACTACCTTCACTCCTCAACAACCATGAACCACTCCTCAATAACCATGAAATATTAGTGCTTCAGCTTTTTATATTATATTCTTGCTCTGTCTTGTACATAGAGCTCTACTTGGATTTTTATCCTCTTGTTTGTATATATATATATATATATATATATATATATATATATATATAATATTAAAAAAATATTAATTATTATGAAATATGAAGGAATATGATTATGAAATATGAAAGAATCATAATGTTAAAAAATGAAATAAAATAAAATAAAAATAAATAAAAGAAATAAAAATAATTATAATTTAAGTTCTACTTCTGTATGGAGCACTGTTTTTTAAAAATACAAACAAAAATAATAAAGAACTCCGGTTTATTTACCTAACGTGTTCTTTCCTATTTTTCTACATATATATATTCACCCATTTGTCTTGCTGACATTTACCAACCGACCTGACACAAATAGCCAATTACATGCTTACAATTACGCATTCGCCCTTGAAATGTAATAACATCTTCAAACATCTACATCCGCGCATTCATTGCTCGCTTTCACGCTTAGGCGGATCTATTTATTTACGCGTAGACTTTATTTATTTATTTTTTTGTTTGTATATTTATAAGGAAGCCTGTATTTATATAGATCATGGCCAGAACTATCATCAGTTACGATGAAGGGATGTTCCCTCAAGGAGGACCCGTGTCTGAGCGTCTATTGAGACTTAAACTTAACCCAGACCTCAAATGGAACTAGTACATATGATCTATCGCTAAAGATACCGGAAAAATGGCCGGTTCTCTGTACCGCTCCAGCAAGTACCTGACTCCTCCTGTTATCTTCTATCTTCACAAAAACCAGATCACCTAAAATGAACTACTGTTGCCATCTATTAACAAGAGATGCCAAATCTTTCCTTACCAGTCTCGACAGAGTCCCACGCTGCAATCCCTTTCTCACAGACAAAACGTCGAAAGTTTCTTGTTGCTGTATCGTCATTTCCATGGAGAGCGTTCAGTCGAACTACATTCCTTAATTCCATTAGTTCTAACCTTCATGACTAAGACCCGATATGCCACGCCCATTGTATCGAACCACCCTCATTCCCTTCGATTTTGATTAGGGAGATGCAAGTTCCACTCCAACAGCTTCTTCCCAGGAACTGCTGTTTTGTGGAACCGGCTCCCAACCGAATACTTACCCGACCACTACAATCTTAATCCGTTCAAGTCTAGAGTTAACCGTTATCTTCCCCCAACATATGCGCATAAACAGTGCCTGTTACTCTCTAATCCTCGAGAGCCTTCCAAGCCTTGTACAGGGGAATCATCACTGCTAAAAAAAAAAAAAAAAGATAAGACGAAAGACCGAAAGACGATTTGAAAAATATGAATTAAATACGCCAGAATCATTATACAAAGAACAAGAAAGAAAGTCTTTATAAATTTATAAGTTTCGCTATTCATTTGCAGCCATCAGAATTTGTGGGGTGTGGGTATTTACAGAGTTTATTTAGATCTATGCTTCAGATTTTAATTTTTCTGTTTTTTGTTTTGTTTTGTTTTTTCTATTCTTAAAAGAGTGCTCAATACAGAGTAGAGCATAGATGATCTATTCGAAAATTATAACATAAATATGTTATAAAATCACTACAAAAATAGCCATTTTGTTTCAACACTTCTGGTGTCTTATCAAGTGATAGTGCTGAATTCTATTTTAGTCTAATCCTAACATTAAAGCATTAAATAATTATTGTAACCAAAGTTCGTTGTCAAGTTTTCTGAATTCACATATACTTGTATTTTGATTGGTCATTCCAGCTTATGTAAAAGCGTTTCCCCTATATACATATTGATGAACGTTTCATCTTACTTATTATAAAATGCAGATTGTGTGTGTGTGTGTGTGTGTGTGTGTGTGTGTGTGTGTGTGTGTGTGTGTGTGTGTGTGTGTGTACGTTTATATATGGGATCGTATTTTACATTTTTCAAACTGATTTCATCAAAACTTCACAGGACTACATAAAATTACATTGCGGTGGTTCTGACAGCACCAAAATTGAAAAACACAATCATTTTGCATGAAATCAATTTGAAAACATGATTAAGAGGCATTAATGAAAGGGGGAACAACTCACATCGAGTTATACTTTTATTATAAAACCCAGGTTGGTTGTTTTGTGTGTGTTCATTTATATATGGGATCGGATTTCCACATTTTTCAACCGATTTCAACAAAAATTCACTTTTTTTTTGGCAGGTAGTGTTTATTATTGTCTTGCACACATTTTTTTTATTTTTACATTCAGAATGCTTCAAAAATTCCATTTACAAGACAAATGTTTATAATAAAATTCCTATTCAATCGGTAGACTCATAACGATTGAAAACAATGTTTTGTTTGAGTTTGGTTTGACCAATTCGTAAAAAAAAACTAAGACATGCGTGTCCGTCAACCTAAAACAATAATCTTTGTCAATTTTATTTTTCAGTCTTTATGATGGTCGATACTTGATCTATCTCTTACTGTTATATCCCCGGGCAACGCCGGGCTCTACTGCTAGTTAAATAATATAGACAAGTTTTTTCTATATATTTTATATAAATTTCTTTTCATATCGTCTGATAAGCTTAATAACATTATCAGTAAAAGATGAACGAAAATCACCATATTAATACATATTTTTTAATCCTATCCAAACTTTCGGCTTACATAAGCCATTATCAAAGATGACAATTACATTACAATATATTAACCAATACACGGACAAAATAATTTTGATAGTCTGTTTTTGTTAGCATGGAAGATTTCCAAGCAACGACAAACTCGTGCATACGAGACGCTGGAAACGAAAATCGCACCGCAGCCCATGACATCACACATGACCACGCGAGAGTGAAAACGAGAAGTATTAATTATAGGAAGCCATTGATATAAACCAATGGCTTCTGTTACCAATTATATGCATTTAAGAATATTTGTGGAGATTTCGTATATATCGTATGCGCCATGACTTTTACACTTGAACACTTGAAATTTCAACTCTCACCTTTTCCTTCTGTATTATTATATTGTAAAGATTTATTTTGTATTTTTAAACACTTTGTACATTTTTTAAGTCATTGCATCATTTACTCATCCATAACTGTTAACTCCTTAACCCACCATACATCTGCGCAATCATTGCCCCCCTTTCACACACACACACACAACACATATATATATATATATATATATATATATATAATTACACAAATAATAATTCTTATTTATTTGTAATTATTTATTTATTTATAGGTTTAGTTAGTTTGTTTTGTCTTACGGCATATCAACACCTCAATGGGTTATTTAATGCCGACAGCATTTTTATTGCTGGTAATTCTTTTTTTTTCAAAAATGTATTGCTGGTAATTTTTTTTTTCCCCAAAATGTATTGCTAGTAATTTTTTGTTTTTTTCAAAAATGTATTACTGGTAAAAAAAATTTCCCAAAAAGTATTGCTAGTATTAAAACCTATTTTTATACTTTCATGTTTTGACCCCTTTTTTTTAGTGGGGGTATGTAACCATTTGCCCAAAGCTGAGACCCTAACACGTGCTACTACCCCGGGTCAGGGTGGACCTGGGAACACCAGCAATTAAGAGGTGGTTCCAAGCTTCCCAAAACCTTCTGCTCAGAGGTCTTGCTGTCGGATGTAGTTTATCGTCTTACCCAGGACACGGATGTAATTTATCGTCTTACCCAGGATGCGGATGTAGTTTATCGTCTTACGCAGGACGGCTTTATTTATAGGAAAGCAGTTATTTACACGGGTAAGTTGGACGATTTGAAAATATGTATTAAATCCGGCGGGCTTATTAAACAAGAAACTAGCAGGTAAATCTTTATAAATTTAAAGTTTCGCTATTTATTAACCTTGTTGCAGGGATTTCATATATTATTTGATATGAGAAACCGGAGAGCTGAGTTCGAATTCCATTCGGGTTCGTTGCATTCACTTACGCGTAAATACCCTTGAGAATGGTATGAATTCATCTCTTCTCCCAGCTATGGATTAAATAGCAAGAAAGACTGGGTCCTGTAGCTTTGGTCTACCGCAAAACGAAATGGTAACCTACTGCGGTAATATCTTTTACATGAGCAGTCATGACTAAAAGAGAGATGATCGCCTAAGCGTACATCACGTATGGCACTTAACTAACTAACTCATACATTTGTCCCGTAAACAATATTTAGTGGACTCGTGTGAGTCCGGGTAAAAAAAAAACTGTATTAACAAAACATGTCGCAGAAAGAAACAAAAAGAAAACGTGAAATAAAGAAAATAGTTGAAGTTAAGAACAGTTCAATACAATCTTCAGTTTGTGTCTCTGAAGTACTTACATGCCTCGTGCCTATCGGAGCGAGAGGAAACGTGTTGCCACTCAAATATCACGCCGCCTGCAGTTATCCCCAGGGTGAGGTAATCCAAAGATTGAAAAGTTAAAATTGTAGCGTTCGGGGACGCATGTTATTTTTATATATTTCAAGTCACGGATTAATCGTTATCTATCCTTCTTATCCTCATATCTTCACTTTCAACCACCTCTTTTTTTCATTCATATCACACACGGCATTAGATTACGGTCATATTACGCTGAAACACTGGTTCCTGTACGATCACCGAAGTTAAGCAACGTCGAGCCTTGTCAGTACCTGGATCAGTGATCGCTTTGGAATACCAGCTGCTGTAAGCTTGGATAAGTGGATGGTATAATGTATAATGGCTCGAAATTGTGAATTGGTGAACCTAGTTCCAATTCTAGTCGGGTTCGTTATATTCACTTAAGTGCAAATACCCTTGAGAAGGGTATGAATCCACCTCTTCTCTCCCCAACTATGGGTTAATTAGTAAGGCTTGTATCACTAAATCATTATTATCTCAAAAAAGAACATTCTTACAATCTAAAAATATCTTGATAAGGGTTGATAAGACGCAGAAAATGAACCAATCAATGAAATATTCATTAACTGATTGTCTTTTATTTATTTAGATTCTCTGGAGTATAAATGGTTTGGTTTGGTTTGGTTTGGTTTACGGAATATTAACCTCAATGGGTTATTTTAATGCCGACGAAATTTTTATAATGGTAATTTTTTTTCTCCAAAACTCTATTTCTGGAAATATTTTTTTCAAAAATTTATTGCTGATAAACCTTTTTTTTTTTAAATGTATTGCTGGTAATATTTTTCTTCAAAAATTTATTACTGGTAATAATTTTTACAAATATTTCTGGTATTAATTTTATAATGTTTGTTACCTCAGTTTCGGGGCTAACTATTTGCCCATAGATGGGACCCTAACAGGTGCTACCACCCCGGTTCAGGATGGACCTGGGAACACCAGCAATTAAGAGGTGGTTCCACGCCCCTCAAAACCTCCAGATCAGAGGCCTTGCTGTTGAACGTAGTTTATCGTCTTAGCCAGGACGCGGAAGTAGTTTATAGTTTCACCCAGGGAGTATAAATGTGTAGTAACTACCGTGGCTACAAAGTGAGGGATCAGTATTGGTTGTAACATATAATTGATCCCCCATAAATACATTGAAAATACTTTTAAGCTACTTCAATACTCTAATTGTTTTCATATCCAACGCAAAACAAAAAGCCCGTAAAATATCTCAAAATAGAAGAGTGGACCTTTCTGATAATGAATACAAGTATATTGATCTATCCATTAACTATATCATAACATATATTAAAAAGAATTTATCTCAGCTTAACATGAAATTTGTTCAACAATTTTTAAAGCAATAAAACACTTAATTAATACAAAGAAACAATACGCTAAAACCTGAAGGAGGAATTTACACTATTACTTGTCATAATTGCAACAAAGTATACATAGAAGAGACCTTGAGAAATCTAAATTAAAGATTATGTGAACACAAAAGGGATCTTTTACAAAACAACACATTAAATGCATTAGGTGCCACTGGAATGAGTTTGACCATAATTTTGCTTTTAAAAATACTATATTAAAAGAGAAAGCAATGTAGCAAGGCGAAAATAAATAGTACTTTAATCGCTAAATCATCCACAATAAATTAAAGTTCTTACCGATTTTCACTTTACTTATGGGATATTTAATAACAAAAGAGATTATGTGGGATATTTAATAACAAAAGAGATCAGAACATTTTACTTTCCCGAGTACTTTCAATCTCATTTGAGACAATCTTCAGTGGGTTAAGTTGTCTGTGAGAATGTATATATGTTTCTGTGAATTTAAAACATTTCAACGATATACGTATGAGTAAAAACAAAAAAATTAGTTGCTTTATACTTGGAAAAAACTCAAAAGAACACGTGAACTTTGAACTTTGAAATCTAGAACGTTGCTTAAACAGCAAAAATAAAACCGAAAAGTTGAAATGTTTTAAATTCACAGAAATACAAATAAAAACAATTTTCTAAGTCTACCAAAAAATAAATCCGCGAACTTGAATGGGTCACAACGAAAACCAATCGATATGATATGTCTAAATTATTTGACCAAACATGTTTGAATATATATATATATATATATATTCAAAACACACACACACACACACACACACACATATATATATATATATATATATATATATATATTCAAACATATATATATATATATGTTATACTAATAATTATACTCGGTTGGTAAAAAACTTCGGATATATAGCCAGATTGCCCTGAAGTTCCGTTCAGGTGAAACCTAGGTAGGTAGTTTCTGGCACTTTAGGATTTATTATATATATATATATATATATATATATATATATATATATATATAGTGTAACCCGGATATAAGAGACCCGGATATAAGAGAATCCCGGATATAAGAGAGATTTTCTCTGGTCCCAAATTAGAGCCTGTGTTAATGTATATAAAATAGACCAAACCCGGATATAAGAGAAACCTGGATATAAGAGACTTTTTCTCCGGTCCTGACAACTCTCTTATATCCGGGTTACACTGTATATATATATATATATATATATATATATATATATATATATATATATATATATGCATGTATATATATATGAATATATATGTGTATATATATATATGTATATATATGTGTATATATATATATCTATGTATATGTATGCATATATATGTATATATATGTATGTATGTATGTATATATCTATATATGTATATGTATGTGTTTGTATAGATATATATGTATATATATATGTATATATATATATATATATATAAATATATATATATATTTATGTATATATATATATATGAATATATATATATGTATGTATATATATATATGTAAATATATATATATATATATATATATATATATATATATATATATATATATATATATTTGTCTGTTTTGTTCAGTGAACCATGTATTAAAGAGGGCTGTTTAAAATACAACATTATTAAATTACGTAACCGAGCATCCTGTCCGATCATCGCCGACTCTGAACTACCCCCAGTCACGATAAATCGATATCAGCTTAGTGAGGCGCCGTGTCTTGTGTGACTATTGGGGACTTAAATTCAGCCAAGACGTCAGGTAGAACTCGTACGTACAATCCATCGCGAAAGAGGCAACAAACAAAGGTCGGTTCCCTGTACCGCTCCAGTAAGTACCATGACTCCTCCCGCTGTCCACTGCCTTTACACGAGCCAGACCAGGCCTACAATGGAGTAATGCTGTTATACGCTGGCAGGAGCTGTCTTTAAAGGTCTTTAATTTCCAGTCTCAGTAAAGCCAGCAGACTCTACCGCTACTTCCATAGAAAGTGCTCTGACGAGCAATATGCCTTAGCTCCACTAGTTCTAACCTTTACGGCTAGGACCCGCCATCCTATGCGCGTTATAGCGAACCACCGTCATTCCTTCCGTATCCTATTGGTGAGACATTCCACTCAAGCAGATTCTACCGTCGGACCACTGCTCTATGGAACCGACTCCCAAGTGGATGTTTTCTCGATCACTACAATCTTAACTGGTTCAAGTCTACTTTTAACCGTTTTCTTCCCCATATATCTATATACACCCTAACCCTTAATCTGTAATCCTATACTTCCAGTGCCCCACACCCGGGCTAGTACAGGGTGAACATCACTTGTTTTAACAAATAAATAGGAAACTAACAGTTTAGCCGAAAGCGCTTGAACCCAAAAAAAGGTTTTGAACAATTTTAACATTCATGAAGTTCACAAAAGAAAAGACTTGTAAACAAAAATAAATAAGAATCGTAATAAAAACTAAATAAAATTGTCTTGTCAGCCTTCTTTCAACGAAACATGTATTATAGATGGATTGCTGCTCAAATATATATATATATACAGTACAGTTGGCATGGCATTTGTCTCCTATCGTAACTGTTCGGGTTTCAATTCTCAGTAGTGGATGCGCTCTGCTGATGAATATATAGGACGAAACGGCCAAATATAGGACGAAACGGCCGTCCAGTGCTTTCTGCATTCTGTTGAGGTTTCTTCTAGACTCGATGAATTAATTATGATTATTCAAATTCTCCTAAATATTTCACTCTTTATATCTTTGCTTGAACCGGCTTTTAATGTTCTGGAGTTAGCGGCTTGGGGATAGTAGTCGTAGCCCTTGGAGGCACAGTCCTATGGGTAAAAGAGAAACTCGGAGAAGTTCCACCACGGAATTTGTGATCGAGCTGCGCTATATTGAATCTAATTCGTTATCTCTTCGTCACCGTGAACCGTTGGTAAGGTGTTTGCCTCCTATCGTAACTGTTCGGGTTTCAATTCTCGGTAATGCGATGCTCACTGCTGATGAGTCCCGAATTTATATTATATATATATATATATATATATATATATATATATATATATATATGTGTGTGTGTGTGTGTGTGTGTACCAACATACTTTTACAAATTTTGAGGGTGGGTATCTCACACCAAAACCAGGACACTCGTCTATATAAACTTCGTCCTTATAGTTTAAAGTTTATTGTAGACGCTGTCAAATGTACAATCCAAGATACAGTCCAAAAATACTTTTACAAAGTGTTTTTGCAAATGATACTGATACAGGAGATGTACTATGAGATGTACGACATGCTAGGTCCACTTGACGTGTGCTGGTACCTGGATCGTCTCTGACAACCTGTACAATGCGTTCTTCGTGATCAGTCGTACGAGAGGTCTCGGTCTTCCTCGATCCATACTTTGTGGTGTCACGGATCCTGTCTCAGAAATGTGACGATAAAAAGCAGCGACAGTTGGATGACTCGGCTGCAGTCTGATACAGGCGTGCAGCCTCGCGTCCATTACCATTCGAGCGGCCGTATGTAACAATCATATGTGCCTGCTCACGATATGAATATCCTGACATTATTAAACGGAACACTTCTCAGTTAACTCATTACTACACAGGTTGAATGTTGAAGGCAGACTAACCACAAAAGTACACGAATGACAAATGTAACCAAGTCTAAACATCAACACAGCGCCATCTACCGTAAACTTTCTTTACACTTAATAACTCAAAAACGAAGGATTTGCAAACATACGATTATATGGACTTTTGTCCTGGTTTTGTGTAAGAAACCCGCTCCCAAATATTGTAAAAGTATTTTTATACACCTGTATATATATATATATATATATATATATATATATATATATATATATATATATATATATGATTTTGTATATTGTAAATTGTGCCAATTTAACACAAACGTGGAATTCCCAA